AATATCTCTTTTATATGTTTCCATGAAAATATCATCTTGAGAAGTGCAACCAAGAAATAATAAATTATGTAAATTATTCAAGTAGACTAAAGATGTTTAATGACAAAGAATTCTTAATTTCTCGTGGGAGGTATATACTTGAACTAAAAAGAAATTTGTTATTGTTAGAATAGAAACGCGAATACACATTATAGGAAAGAGAAATAAGCAAAAACTATTAGAAATATTAATTTATTATATTATTTATGTTAGTAACTGATTTGTTTGAGTTTGTCCTAGTCTTTAGGGATATTTGATTGAGTAAGTAGTGGGTGCTGAATTTTAGGAATATATTGTTAGTGGCTTACAGCCTTATTAAGCAGTTTTGTAATTCTTGTTATGTTAACGGATCAATAAATAAAACAGCAGTTTTCCGTGCCTCTGCACTCTAAGTTAACAGTGGTATCGAGAGCTGGTTCATTTAGAAAAAAAAAACTGAGTGAAACACAGTGAGATTTGAGCGAAAACATCATCGATGGCATCTTCCAATGAGAATTTTGTGCAGGCTCTTGGCTCACCAGCAACATCAACTTCAGAACCTCGTCCTCGGCGTGATAAAAGAAGTCGCTCACCAACAACATCAACTTCAGAACCTCGTCCTCGGCGTGATAAAAGAAGACCTGGTTGGATGATTGATTACGGATTGTGATCCCATGGTTTTTGAAGAAGCTATTAAGGAACCAAAGTGGAAAAAAGCAATGGATGAAGAAATTGCTTCTATTGAGAAGAACAACACTTGGGAGTTGGTTGATCTTCCACAAAGGCAAAAGACAATTGGTGTGAAATGGGTGTATAAGACAAAATTCAAGGAAGATGGAGAAGTTGACAAGTACAAGGCACGACTTGTCGCTAAAGGTTACAAGCAAGAGTTTGGGGTGGACTATACTGAAGTATTTGCTCCAGTTGCAAGACATGATACAATTAGAATGGTGGTTGCTGTAGCTGCACAAAATTCATGGCCCATCTTCCAATTGGATGTAAAATCAGCATTTTTACATGGTGATTTGAAGGAGCAGGTGTTCATTGATCAACCTCCTGGATACATGAAGTTTGGATGTGAGCACAAAGTCTACAGACTAAAGAAGGCTTTGTATGGATTAAAACAAGCACCACGCGCTTGGTACAGTAGAATTGAAGCTTACTTCCTGAAGGAAGGGTTTGAGAAATGTTCTTTTGAACACACACTTTTTGTGAAAAGTGGGGAAGGAAGAAAATTGTTGATTGTGTGCTTGTATGTGGATGATTTGATATATACAGGGAACGATTTCAGCATGTTTGAAAGGTTCAAGCAATCTATGATGTTGGAATTTGATATGTCTGATTTAGGGAAGATGCATTATTTTCTCGGCATAGAAGTAGTGCAATCAAAAGCTGGCATTTTTATCTCACAAAAGAAGTATGTGCAAGAAATTCTGAACAGATTTCAGATGTCAAATTGCAATTGTGCTGCTACACCTACTGATGTAGGCTTGAAACTTGTTCGAAATTCGGATGAAAAGAAGGTTGACAGCCAACTTTACAAGCAAATCGTGGGGAGTCTGATGTATTTAACAGGAACGAGGTCTGATATCATGCATGCTGTAAGTTTGATCAACAGGTATATGGAAAATCCTAAGGAGAGTCATCTCTTGGCTGCAAAGAGAATTCTCAGGTACTTGCGAGGTACTACTAGTTTTGGAATTTTCTACAAGAAGGGAGAAAATTCGGATCTGATTGGCTATACAGATAGTGATTATGCTGGAGATATTGATGATAGAAAGAGTACTTCTGGCTATGTCTTTATGCTGGGTTCTGGATCCATCTCATGGTCATCAAAGAAATAAGAGATAGTCACCCTATCAACTACCGAAGCAGAATATGTTGCTGCAACAACATGTGCTTGTCAAGCAATTTGGCTTAGGAGGATACTTGAAGGGCTGAATTTTGTGCAGGAAAGGGAAGTTAATGCTACTGCAATTTATTGCGACAACAGTTCAGCTATCAAACTGTCCAATAATCCTGTTTTACATGGAAGAAGCAAACACATAGACGTGAAATTTCATTTTATCCGGAATCTCACAAAGGATGGAGTGATTGAACTTCACTACTGCAGAAGTGAAGACCAAATTGCCGATATAATGACCAAGCCATTGAAGCTCACTGCATTTCAGAAGCTCAGAGCATTGTTGGGAGTGTGTGATAAAGTGAATGTTTGAAAACTTTCAGTTTAAGGGAGAATATTAGAAATATTAATTTATTATATTATTTATGTTGGTAACTGATTTGTTTGAGTTTGTCCTAGTCTTTAGGGATATTTGATTGAGTAAGTAGTGGGTGCTGAATTTTAGGAATATATTGTTAGTGGCTTACAGCCTTATTAAGCAGTTTTGTAATTCTTGTTATGTTAACGGATCAATAAATAAAACAGCAGTTTTCCGTGCCTCTGCACTATAAGTTAACAAAAACTTTGTTCGCGTTGTTCATTCAAATTGTCTATGCTTGCGACTATAGAGGTTATAGTTCATTTTATTTATACCTTGTGAATTGCATATAGATTACAATGTTAAAAATCACGCACGTGCGCGCGCGCACACACACACACACAATACGAAGTTTTAAATTTATCTAAAATCCTAATCTCTAGTTTCTCTCAACAAACAATTATCTCTACCCATAGTTATTTCAACAATATGAACTATTCTCTCAACAACCTATAATCATCTCAACAACCTATAATCATCTCAACAATATGAGTTATACTCTCAACAACCCATGATTATCTCAATAATCCATAATTATCTCAACAATATGAGGCATATTCGACAATCTTCACCTTTGTGAATATCAAACCCCTATAGATACTTCTCGCATAACGATTTGTCTTGAAAACTGAGGAGGTACACCTCCTTCTTAACACTGAGAAATATGTAACAAGTCCAAACAATGTTTGAACTTGTCACTGGTGACTGGCTTGGTCAACATACCAGTTGCATTATCTGAAATGTGAATCTTCTGAAGTAATATTTGTCCGGACGCCAATAACTCCCTGATCTTGTGAAACCTCACATCAATATGCTTGGTCCTACACCTGATTATTTTCCAAATAGATAGAACTCTTAGTATCACAATTCAACTAAACTCGACCTTGCTCAACACCCAAATGTTTCATTAATCTTGTAAGCTACAATGCATCCTTGGCAGCTTCAACTACTGTCATGTATTCTGTCTCAGTTGTAGGCATATCTACTATGGATTGAATTGATGATTTTCGTCATATATGTCCTCCATAAGAGTAAATACATGCCACATTGTTGACCTCCTATCATCCAGATCACTTGCATAGTCATAATCCACATATCCCACAATTAATGAAACACCCTGCTCTTTATTGAACATGATACCATGATCTGTTGTACCCTTCAAGTATCTTAAGATCCACTTGATTGCTTCTAAATGCTGCTTCCCTGGCTTAGATATGAACTTACACACTTGACTAATTACTTGTGCCAAATCCGGTCTAGTGCACACCATAACATACATCATACAACCAATTGCATTCCAAATCCGGTCTAGTGCACACCATAACATACATCAAACAACTAACTGCATTGAAATAAGGAATTTTAGACATATTTTCAATCTCTGAGTCTGCCTTCGAACATTGTTCCAAAGAGAGCAATTCTTTGGTAACTGTCGCAATATTTTATACAACATGCCTAAAAAATTTGCGACAGTTGGCTCAAACCGTCGTGAGAACTGTCGTAGTCCAAGAATAAGGACGGTTTTTTGATAACTGTCGCAAAAAATCTACGACAGTTGACCCTAACTGTCGTAACAACCGTTGCAATCCAAGAATAAGGACGGTTTTGTGATAACTGTCGCAACTCAAGTGTCGTAAATCTCCTTTTTTCTTGTAGTGATTAAACACATTTATATGTTCTTCCTCCATGTTTATAGGTGCTACTATAGAACTATCAATATATTCTAGTTGGGATAGGGGATGTTCTATGTAATATCAACTATCAAGTGTACTCAACAGAGGTGAGAAACCTCTGACGCACTCTTGTCATCATTAAGAACATTCATCCCAAAAGTAGGGTCATTATAATATATGGTGTCTATCTCAGTATAACCTAGATCTTTCAATACACCAACCAATTCAAAGTAACTCCACCTATCCATATCTACTTCTAAATCATTGCATTTACCCCACACATACACAGTTTTTTAAGAGTCCAATAACTCACCACTATGATGAATTTTCAAACACACAATTTCATCCATTTCTACCTAACACAAGAAAACGCAAAATTATATAACAGATTTCAAAAGAGGATAAAACCCTAGATATCTAAACGTAGCAATCAAAACTATGAACAAACAATGCTAGTACGGAAATGCAACGGAACTATGAACACACAGTGATAATAGATAAAGACATTGTGTAAACTAACCTTGATTGAGACCTTCGTCGTCTACGATGCGCCTTCGTCTTCTACAATGTCTTCTTCGTTTTCTCTGCTAGGGTTCCTATTTCAGCTTTTGCGAAAATGAAAAATGAAATGGAAATATATTCTTACTTACCATGCCACCTAAGCATTAATCTTACTTATCATACTACCTAAACAATCATTTCTTGTCACCTAAACAATAACTTACCGTCAGCCATATTTATATTGCTAATCTAACGTTTATAACAGAAAGGACAAACGTAATACACTTTTAATATCGTAAAGAATCAATTTAGACGTTTTAAAAAAAATAGGATCAAAATAAACTCGGAAGAATAGGTAAAGAACTAAAAAAAAATATTAAGTCAATATTTTTTTATTTAAAAAAAAACACTATTTGGTGCCAAATATGGGTAGCAATAGCATTCCGGTTGTATTTTATCTCTTATCCTATTGTCATTATTATTACTCTCTGTTCTGCATCTATGGTCTTTGTGTAGTAGTTGACTTGAGCGAAACACTTTCTAAACAATGTCTTCCTCCACCGATCATCCATGGATCTACGACGTGTTCATAAATTTCAGAGGACAGGATACTCGTGAGAAGCTCGTTTCTCATCTCTATGCTGCACTCTCAAACGCAGGAATCAACACTTTTCTTGACGATAAGAATCTTCAAAAGGGAATGGAACTTGGACCAGAACTAAAGAGGGCAATAGAGGGCTCTCAGATTTGTATTGTTGTTTTATCAGTCAACTATACAAAATCTAGCTGGTGTCTTAACGAGCTGCTACATATCATGGATTGCCGCAAAAATTATGGCCAGTTGGTTTTACCCGTATTTTACGAGATTGACCCATCATTTGTTCGCAGGCAGACTGGTGATTTTGGAGAAGCCTTGGAAGTTAGTGCAACGCGTGTCGAATCTTTTAGTCTAAAAAAAAAGAAAGGAGATCTGTTGAAAAAGTGGAGGACGGCACTCACCGAAGTTGCTAATCTATCTGGCTGGAATTCCAGTAGTTTCGGGTAATAATAAACAAACACTTTTTTGAATTTATAATCACTGCCTCATTCTTTGTCTTTATTATTTCTCTTATTACTATTGCAGAACTGAAGGTAATCTAGTGAAGAAAATTGTTGAGAACATTTTGACAAAAATAGATGTCTCATTGTTGTCTATTACTGAATTTCCCATTGGATTGGATTTCCATGTGCAAAACATGACCAACTTTATTGATGATCAATCAAGCAAAGTCTGTATGATAGGGATTTGGGGAATGGGTGGTTCGGGCAAAACAACCACCGCCAAAGCTCTCTACAACCAAATCCATCGTAAGTTTGAGGGTAGAACAAGTTTCATCGAAAATATACGAGAGACTTGTGAAAATGATACTAGAGGAATTATTCATTTACAACAACAACTTCTTTCTGATCTCCTCAAAATAAAGCAGGAGATTCATAGCATTGCATTGGGGATAAATAAGATCGAGACAAAACTTCGGGGGCAAAAGGTTTTCATCGTACTCGATGATGTGACCAAGTCGGAGCAATTAAATGCCCTCTGTGGAAATCCTAAGTTGTTTGGTTCAGGAAGTGTTTTGATTGTTACAACTAGAGATATACGCCTTCTCAATTCACTCAATGCCGACCATGTCTTCACAATGACGGAAATGGATGACAATCAGTCACTTGAACTTTTCAGTTGGCATGCTTTTCGGCAACCAAGTCCTAGAAAAGATTTTAGTGAACTCTCTAAAAATGTAGTTGCTTATTGCGGAGGATTGCCACTGGCTCTTGAAATCCTTGGATCTTACTTATCTAAGAGGACGAAACAGGAATGGAGAAGTGCACTATCAAAATTAGAGAAAATTCCTAACAATCAAGTGCTACAGAAATTGAGAATCAGCTATGATGGTTTAGAAGATAATGAGGAAAAGGATATATTTCTTGACATATGTTGTTTCTTCCTTGGAAAGAACAGAGCTGATGTTACAGAGATACTCAATGGCTGTGGACTTCATGCTGATATTGGAATAGCTGTCCTCATAGAGCGCAGCCTCGTAAAAGTTGGAAAGAATAACAAGCTTCAAATGCATGATTTGCTAAGAGACATGGGAAGATCAATTGTTGGCGAATGTTCAGCAAAAGAGCCTGTCAAGCATCGTCGATTATGGTTTCGTGAGGATGTGTTGGATGTTTTGTCAAAAAATACTGTAAGAACTTTTGAGCATCCTCTATAGTCTTATCAAGATCATAAGACTCCTTTTTTGTTTCTAGACTAGTTTTGCGCTCCATAAATGTTCACTGAAATTATTTGAATGCATGATTTGCATTCTCGTGTCGGTTTTAAGCTACGAAGGGCTAACACAAACACAATATTTTAACACTAACACGTCGACAATGAAAATAAATTGAGAAAAAATGAAATAATTGAATATAGTCATGAGTGTTGGATACAAAACACAATCCCTATATGAAGTGTCAGTGCTACCTATCTTTCTTGCAAGCATGACAAATGATTAACATTTTCCCTTACTTTTTTCAACATTTTTTACTTCACATGCAGGGAACAGAAACAGTTGAGGGATTGATTTTGAAGCTGCATAGAACAGGCAGAATTCGCTTCAGTACTAATATTTTTCAGGAGATGAAAAAACTGAAGCTCTTAAAACTTGATGGTGTTGACGTCATCGGAGATTATGGGTTAATTTCAAAACAATTGAGATGGATTGATTGGCAAAGATCTACCTTCAAATTTATACCCAATGATTTTGATCAGGAAAATCTAGTTGTTTTTGAATTAAAACATAGCAATGTTGAACAAGTTTGGCAGGAGACCAGGGTATAGTAATATTTTCTTGTAAAACTTTAAAGGTTAATGACAATAAGATTTGTTGCCACCTTTTCATTTTCTATTTTCTTCTCTAATTTTTCTTTTAAACAAATATTTTATTGTAGTTGTTGGAGAAGCTAAAAGTTCTTAATCTCAGTCATTCCAAGTATATGAAAAGAACTCCCGACTTTTCAAAAATGCCGAATCTAGAAAAGCTCATTATGAAGGGTTGTCAAAGTTTGTCTGAGGTACACAAGTCCATTGGGGATCTTAAGAAGATTGTTTTCATAAATTTGAAGAATTGTACTAGTCTCGTCAATCTCCCAAGAGAGATCTATCAATTGATAACAGTGAAAACGCTCATTCTTTCTGGTTGTTCCAAGATTGACAAATTGGAAGAAGATATAATGCAAATGGAATCATTGACGACTCTAATTGCAGCAAATACTGGTATTAAACAAGTTCCCTATTCAATACTAAAATCGAAAAGTATTGGATATATATCTCTTTGTGGATATGAAGGATTATCAAGTGATATTTTTCCTTCTCTCATATGGTCTTGGATTTCACCAACCAGAAACCCCCTACCCCGTGTTTCTCCATTTGGAGGCAATACATTGTCTCTAGTTTCATTGGATGTAGAGAGTAATAGTACGGACTGTCAATCTTCGGTGCTTACCACCCTTTCAAAACTTAGATGTGTTTGGGTTCAATGCCACTCAGAGAATCAACTAAGTCAAGAATTACAAAAATTTATCGATGACCTATATAATGTGAATTTTACGGAGTTAGAAACAAAATCACTTGAACCAAAAGTCTCAAATATTTCCTTGAGATCACTTGTGATTGGAATGGGGAGTTCCCAAATAGTCATGGATACTCTTGGGAAAAGCTTATCACAGGTTCTGTCTCTATCCTTTCACTTCTAATATAGTGATATCTATGATTTTAGTTTCCTTTTTCACTATTTTATTAAGTGGTAGTAGTATGTATCCTTTTTCTCTAATAAACTAATATAATTTTCTTTTACTTCATCTCTTCATCTCAGCTAGGGGTGCGAAAAAAACCGTTATTGTTAACCAAATTTGTATCTAAATTTTTTTAAAAAATCCAAACCAGATGTTAAAATATAAATCTGATTATCTATTTTGTTATTCAAATATAAACCGATTTCCATTGGTTTAGTTATTGGGTATCCAAATTTCATTATTTGTTAAATTGATATATTTGTCTCTTTTCATGTTTTATCATATACACATTATAAACTAATTTTATATTTTGAATTATTTTAATATTAATTTTCTTGAATTTTTTATAAAAAATTATTTTATAAAAAATTTAGAATTTTGTATTTCAAAATGAAAAAAAAGATTGTTTACGAATTTGATTTGTTGAATTTGACTCTAGTTTTCATTTATAAATCTCGAAGATAATTAAAGGTTTATGAAAAAATGATCATAACTATTATAGATTTTTCCACCAATAGATAGAGGTTTTTAAATATACAATTATATGTATTATAACATATTAGTCACCATTTTAAGTCCATATAATTCGCTGAAATTTTTTATTTTAGAATTTTTTATTTTTAGTTTTATTTTTTAATTTTTTAAATATTATTTATTTTTAGAGTTTTTTTTTAAATTGTTTTTTTTAAAAGAAAAAATATATTAAAACATAAGTATTTAAATTTAAAAATTGATATAATTTAAAGAAAATTAAATTTAAATTTAACTAAATAATTTGGATTAAAATCAAAATCCATTTAGAACCTCGGAACAAGTGGTTTGGTTTATAAACCATAACCATAAAAATGGATTGGTTCATATTAAATGGTTATCCATGCATACCCCTAGTTTAAATTTAAATTTAAAACAATAGTTGAATATTTGCTTAAGCTATACGAGTTAATGTCCTTTAGATATCTGAATGATAAAATCATTATTGTTGATGTAAATTGTATATTGGATCTTCTTATTACAAAATATAAATATATAGCACTGATTTAACAGTTGCTTTTTCAATAAGAAACAAAGTTAAAGCAATCTAACAAGAAGTAGGTGGCTAGATAATTATTTTTACAAAATAAAAGTTTTAGTATATGTTTTTCCTCTTCTCTCTCCTCTCAACAAATACTGAGTTTTAAAAGCTTTAGTATATGCCACCCTTCATTAGAAAAGAAGGTTTCAAGTTGTCGCATACGACGGCTCACAACAAGCCTTTTGTATTTATGAAGAAGTGATTTACTTGCTAGAATTGCCTGAAATAAAATTAAGGCATTTCCTAAAATGTTAGATATTAATTTGGCCTGATATACTATCAGACACTCTTGAAAGAAGAGAATACAAGTAGCTGTAATGTGCCAGACAGTAGAGCAAGTTTACGAAAAATCAATAGTGTAAATGATAAGATCATAGAACCGAAAGAGAGAACCGGTGTTATCAAATAGCGGCACCATGGCTGCTATGGCGGATATACATGGCGGTTTTTGGGCTTGCCGCAATGGTAAATATCGGCCGATATTGTGGGTTTTTCCACCATAATCCGCTATGACGGCACCGCAAAGTGGCCGGTATGGCGGGATTTTTTCTCTCCGCCATGGACCACCATCTGCCACCGACAATACTGGAGAGAACTTGTATGCAGATATTTATCTGTTATGGTTTTTACTGTGAAAGTTGAGTTATTAGAAATTAGAAAGGAACTATATTACTTGTTTTGATTCTATTAACTTTTATATTTTTGTGTTATTTCTAACATAGTAAATGGCGTAACATAATTAGAAATACATAAGTAACTAGCATATGTTCATGATACAGGGATTGACAGCCAACTCTAGCGATTCTTTCCTTCCGGGTGACAATGACCCTTTTTGGTTAGCCTACACATGTGAAGGACCTTCGGTACTTTTCCAAGTTCCTCAAAATGGTGACTGTGAAACGAAGGGAATAACTTTATGTGTTCTTTATTCATCAACGCCTGAAAACCTGGCAACTGAATACTTCACTAGTGTCTTGATCATTAATTACACAAAATTCACTCTCCAGATTTACAAGCGAGATACTATTATGTCGTTTAATGATGAAGATTGGCAAGGGGTGGTATCAAATTTCGGAGTTGGTGACAAGGTTGAGATTTTTGTTGCTATAGGGCATGGATTGACTATTAAGGAGATGGCTGTTTATTTAATATATGATCAGTCAACTACTATGGAAGTGGAGCCAATACTTGAAGTGGAAGTGCAACCACCACCTGGTGTGAAAATGGAGCCAATACTTGAAGTGGAAGTGCAACCATCACCTGGTGTGAAAATGGAACCATCACTTGAAGTGGGAGCACAACCATTACTTGGTGTGAAAATGGAGCCATCACCTGAAGTGGAAGCACAACTATCACTTGATACGAAAATGGAGCCATCATTTGAAGTGGAAGCACAACCATCACTTGATACGAAAGTGGAGCCATCACTTGAAGTGGAAGCACAACCATCACTTGATACGAAAATGGAGCCATCACTTGAAGTGGAAGCACGACCATCACCTGGTGTGAAAATGGAGCCATCACTTGAAGTGGAAGCACAACCATCACCTGGTGTGAAAATGGAGCCATCACATGAAGTGGAAGCACAACCATCACTTGATGGGAAAATAGAACCATTACCAAAGCCAAATCAAAAAATCTTTAGAAAACTCACAAAGAGAATAGGAAAATGTTTATGCTTGAACCAAAATTGAGATCTCTTGACAGTTTTTGATTGAGCATGTTTTTGTTATTATTAAGAGTTACATTATAATATTATATTTTTAGGATTTAATATTGAGTATATGAGCTTCATCCATTTTGTCTTTCTTATGTATTACTCTTTTAATCTATTGATATAAATATGTGGTCACTATATATTATAGTGTATCTGATTGATTATTCATATTCCTTCTTTCTTTTTATATGGTATCTAGAGTCTATTATAGTCCACCGTAAATGGGGGATTCAATGATTATTTGTGGTGTTTTGGAGGTGTTCTACAATGATATTGATATTGTATATTTGTAAGGTTTTGAGTCAAAATTGTGTGTACAACTTTGTTTTTGGTTAAACAATGTCGACAAAAATTAAAAATAGCGATGATGGCATTTCTAAGAAGTCCGTTACCAAATTTTTTACTACCACAAATCTCACTGATATGTTGAGTGGAAGTATATAGTTGAAGTTAGTCTTGGAGGAATGGGAAAGGATGAACATTTACTAGAAGCATGCTCAAAGGAAACAAAAACAACAACAATTTAGAATATTGAGGATAAACGTATTTTAGTTCTACTTGTAAATTTTGTTGATAGGCAAGTCCAATCAATTATTGCTCACTACAAGACTGTGAAAGGGTTGTGGAATTTTTTGAAATTTATTTTTGGTAAATCTGATAATTTGAATCACATTTATGCTCTTCTGCAAGATATTTTCCGCCCTAAACAGGATAAGATATTTTCCGCCCTAAACAGGATAAGCGTAAGTTGATATATTACATTTTTGAGTTTAAGAAATATATGAAGGAGTTGACTTCTCTTCTAACATGCAAATCTGTCAAAGATATATTAACTCAACAAAAGAAAATTATAGTCTTGAGTTGACTTTCTGGTCTTGATTCAGAGTATGAGGTGGTTCGATCTCAATTTAATTCGTATTCAATTTAATTGGCATGTTCACATTCTTCAAGTAATAATGCCAAATAATATTTTTCTGCACAATTTAGTTAATCACATGAATCAACATGACATAACTCACCAAGCATCTTGCATTATCTCTCTATAACAAAATGGAGTTGTTGAGTGAAAAAAAAAAAAAACACTTAATGGAAGTTTCCGAGCATTATTGTTTAAAATGAAAGTTCTAAATCTTTTTAGGCAAATACATTACTCAGTGTTGCCCACTTAATTAATCACATGCCATCATTTATTTTAAATAATGTTATCCAATATTCCATCTTTTTTCCTTTTCATTATTTGTTTTCTATACCATTCCCCACCCAAATATATTTGGTTGCATGTGTTTTGTGCTTGATGTTTGTTAGCAGGTGCCTAAGTTAAACTCAAAGTCATTGAAGTGTGTATTTTTGGGGTACTCTCATACTCAAAATGGGCATCGTTGCTTTTTCCCCATATCTTGGTTGTTATATGATTTCAACTGATGTCTCATTCTTTGAAAATCATCATTTTTTTGACGAGTCTCAGTCGTTCGTGTCAGTGTATGAGTCAGACGATTCTTTCTTAACTTATACCATTACCCACTGTAATCCTCCAACTCATATTGCAACAAATTTCAAGTTCTTTGAGCAAGCATATTCTCTTCGTCCCTAAGTTTCAAAAGAGGATATTTTAGAAGATACTCAACCTTTATCCCCTCCTATGTATGTAGATTCTGCAAAGGACCTTCCATTTGCCTTACATAAAGGTAAACATCCTTGTACTTATATATGATTTCCTCTTATGGGTCTTCTAGCTTTTAGTCATCTATTTCTAAATCCTTTGTTGCTGGCATAGATTCTATTTATGTTCCTAAATCTCTTTTAGAGACATACTATGGAGGAGAAAATGAAGGCTCCCGAGCATAATGACACTTAGGATTTAGTTTCTCTTCTTACATGCAAAACAACTATTGAATGAAAATGGATGTATACTCTCAAGATGAATTCAGATGGCTCTTTGACCCACTTAAAAGTACAGCTAATTTCCAAAGGATATGCCCAAACATAAGGAGCTGACTATACTGATACTTTTCCCCATGTGACCAAACTTCATTTATTCGTATTATTATATCTCTTGCTACCAATCACCATTGACCCTTGTTCCAGTTAAATTTCAAGAATTCCTTCTTGCATGGTAACTCACAAGTGAAGGTGAATATGGAAAAACCATCCATTTTATTTCTCAGGGGGAGCATGGACATGTGTGTCGTTTAAATAAATCATTATATGGATTGAAACAACCACCTAGGTCTTAATTTAAGAGATTCAATGAAGTGGTTTTGGTATTTTGAATGAAACAATGTCAAAGTATTCATACAATATTTTTTAATAAAAGCAGCATTGGAAATATCTTATTGGTGGTGTATGTTGAGGATATTGTAATTACAAAAAGTGATAGAAAATGAATTGGAAAATTGAAGGATTTCCTCTAAACCAAGTTTCAGACCAAAGATTTGAGAGTCTTAAAGTACTTCTTGAGCATTGAAGTTATGTATTCAAAGAATGTAATTATTCTTTCACAAAGGAAATGTTTTTTAGATCTATTGAGTGAAACTGTTATGATGGAATCCAAACCATGTGAGACTTCTATGAAGCCTGAAGTTAAGTTAACAGTGGATGAAACATCTTTCTCGGATTCACGGAAGTATAAAAGATTGGTGGGAAAGGTGAATTACTTAACTATTATGATACCTGATATTGATTTTTCTGTAAGTGTTGTAAGTCAATTTATATCTTCCCCCACTGATACTCATTGGCAAGAACTAATCTTCATTGTTAAATATTTGTAGAAAGTTCCAAGAAAGGGAATTGTCTACCAAGATCATGAGCATATGCAGGTGGAGGTTTTTCATGATTTAGATTGAGAAGGATGTCTAGTGAATCGAAAGTCTACCACAAGATATTGTGTATTTTTTGGAGGTAATTTGATATCATGGAAAAGTAAGAAACATACATAGTCACAAGATCAAGTGCATAAGAACAATACAAGACTATGACTTAACTACTTCTGAATTGATATGCGTAAGACAAATCTTGGATGAAAAGAAGTTTGAGAATAATATTCCTTTGAAATTGTGGTGTGATAACCAAGTTTCCACACATGTTACATCAAATTTGGTCTTGGATGAAAGAACAAAACACATTGAGATTGACTATCACTTTATCTAAGAGAAGGTTCAAGAAAATCTCATATCCATTTCCTATGTTTGGATAGGAGATCAAATAACATATTTCCATACAAAGGCTTTAAATGTGGGTGCGTAGTGATTTTATTTGTAACAAGTTGAGCATAATTAATATATATGTTTCAGCTTAAAGGGGGAGTATTAAGAGTCATATTATAATATTATATTATTAAGTATATGAGTTATATTATAATATTATATTATTAAGTATATGAGTTTGACCAATTTGGCTTTCTTATATATTACTTTTGAAGATTTCTTAACGCACCTTATGATTTACTATGGGGCCCCGTGAAAAGCTAAAAATACCTCTAGAATTCGGAGATGCATCTCCTGACTCACTACATGCACACACAACTCATTCATTTTTAGCCACACTCCAATTTTATAATTAAATTTAGTTTGAAAATGAATTTTTAAAGTGTATCCGAAAAAAAAAAAAAGGAATCCGTAAGGTTCATAACTTGAGAACCCAAAAATAAAATTCTTTGGCGAAGAAGTGTGTTGCTATTATCAAGTTCTTCGAATCTGAGAAGCCATGGAGAAGCAATTTTGGCGGATAAATCATGGGAGACGAACCAGTTGGAGGATAAAGTGGGTGTGATTACGTTAACAATTGTTGTTTCCGTGTCTGGTTGAAAAATTGATGGTGGGAATTTTAGAGTGGAAAATGTTATTGTTATGCTTCAAGAGTGTCTTGTTTGATTTGAAGCTTAGTGGCGTACAGGCTAAACTCACTTCCATTTTCTTCTTCTGTTTTGGTAACTATACATGTTTTGGAAATGTATTTTAAGAGACACTTCGGAAACACATTTTCGGATTAAATTTAATCATAAAATTGGGGAAAATTGGGGCGTTGTTAAAAAATGAATGAGTTATGTATGTATGGAGTGCGTAGGGAGATACATCTTTGAATTTTGAGAGACATTTTTAAATTTTCATAGAGTATTTTTCCATCACATAGAATGAGATAAAAAAATCTCCTTACTCTTTTATTCTATTAATATAAATACTAGCGTCCAAACGGGTACTCCGTATCCGTTTGTCCGTTTTTTTTATTGCGCTAACGCGCACTATTTTTTTATGGTGTTTTTGACATATATTATGTTAAAAATAAAATTACTTAAGAACAATTATAAAAAAAATAAAAATATAATGGTACATATTAACTTTCGATATGTTTTAATAATGTCTTCCGACCAACTTAGCACTAAAAGAAATATTTTCAGACCAATTTAACAATGTAAATGTCAACTTAAAATTAACTTAATAATCTAAAGAGTAGAATGTGAAAATTAAAACTTATCAATAAATTAAATGTTACATAAAATAATATTATTTACATAATTAGAAAAAATAAAAGTAAGAAGACAACCAATGTATGTTGTTTAATGTCTTAAATTTTTAATAATATCACAATGTAGAAATCATACAAATTATAAATGGATATAAAATAACAAAAATTTAATATTCACATATTTTATAATAAAAGACATTAATAATGTCACTATTATTTTCCATGCTTGATGTTGTGTTCAATAAAAAAAAAGGCATATTTAGAAAAGAAAATAATGTGGTAGTTGTTATTTGTTTTTGTAACTTACCTGTTTCTTATAACTTACCTGTGAATGTTGCCACTAATACGTGTTTCATGTCTCTCTTTTTCTCACTTTCTCCTCGTCTCTCTCTAACTCTTTTTTTATATCACTCATCAGTCTCTCTACCTCTCTATATATCCCAATCTCCTTTGCACATGACATTCATTTGTTCATCTTTCTTTGTTTTATTAATTAGTTAATAACTGGTTATCATTAAACAGAAAATCATGATGAAAACATAAACACAAATATCTTCAATCTTTAAAAGATATTCAACCCTTAATATCATTCATAGCCTTGGACTTACATTTAAAAAAAAAAAGCTCTAAAACTTATATTTAACATTATCTGATACAAACTGTAGTTTTGTTTGTGAATGTGAGTCTTATAGATGACAATATTAGAGATTATTCTCAATAACAACCTACAAAATATAATTAAGTATCATATATTTTTTTGGATATTTTAAAAATGATCAATTATTTTCTGATGCATTGATAAAAAAAATTAAAAATATATAATTTAAGTTTGTATTTCTGAGGAGTTGAAGGTGTTATAGTAAGTGACTTGACTGATGAGAATGGTGTGTGGGACAGGAAGTTAATGCAGTCATGGATGTCTATCGAGATTACAAACAAAATGTAGGCTGTCATATATACCTTCAGAAGTAGGAAACAAAAGAGATGAATGTGCTTAGAATGGTAGAAAATTAAATAGTTGCAATAACTTAATAATAAAAAACAATACATGTTTAACTATATAGTCATTCTTATTTTAAACAACTAATAGATAAAGATTCAAAAGAGGAAATCAAATTTTAAACCATTAATAAAAATAGTCATTCTTATTTGTTCGTAGAAATTAGGATGCACCTTTTATTTCTTTCCTAAGAGATAACGATTCATTTTTCTTCTACAATAGATAGAAAAATTAAAGTATTAGACATTAAAAAGATCCAATAATCTCAATTTTCAAACCCCAATTTCACATATGAATTTGTTTATGTAAAAAGAACAAAACAGTAAATAAAAATAAATAAAAAAACTAAATAAAAAATCAGATTGAAAAATCTAAATACCTTAATAATCAACTGTAACAAAAATCATTGTGTGATTCTCAATCCATATTATGTCACCTGCAAATTATAGATTTCTCTTTTCTACTATCATCATGAATATTGTTTGAATTCCAATTTTTCTCATGCAGTCTCCCTTCTTTTCCATTTTTGACTTCTATGAACCTAATGAGTTAGAAATGAAAGACATAAATTATAAGGAGAAATTATTTAAATATAGTTTTAAATTAGAAGTTAAAGTGAGTTTTCTTTTCAAATAACTAATTACTTTGTACAATATTCAAATATAAAATGGAGGGAGTAGTTAATTTTTATTGTGTAACTTTTAAGTAGTTTTAAAGGGTAAAAGAGTAAAGAAAATAGGCTACACCAAAAAGATGTTTTACCTTTATATATTGTTATAGATAATAGGCAAAAAAAAAAAAACTATGCTATTTGAAATAGTTATCTTTGAAATTCAAAATTACCTCTTTTGACGATGAAATGCTAGTGTAATAAGACCAGATAATATAAGCATGAATTAGTTTCAATCTTGATGTTGCTCTCTAATACAAAAACAACACAGAAGCAAACATTGGAACTTCCATAGGACTTCTAATACAAACAATGACAAAGAAGCAAATTATTAACCACCCACAAACCATAAATTATGAAGAATCATTGGATGAAACATTAAATGAATATGTTTTTTTAGTCTCTATAAATTTGTATTTATGTTATGCATCACACCTTGAGAAGTTTATCTATAAAAAAAAATCAACTCTAGTAGTTATGGAGTTACGACAATTCAAAATAACTACCATCATTTAATAAAAACTTTATATATAGTTATAGATAGATTATCTAATTTTAATTTAATTATAAATTATTTTTAAAATAATTAAAGATAATGATATGAAAAATAATAAACTGTTGGCGGTTAATAAACCGTCGTGTAACCGCCATTGTGAGAAAAAAATTAAAATTTAAAATAAAAATTGAAAAGGGTAAATTTGAAAGAAAAAAAAGCTACACCAAAACAATGTATTGCTTTTATATATTGTTATAGATAACTACCATCATTTAATAAAAACTTTATATATAGTTATAGATAGATTATCTAATTTTAATTTAATTATAAATTATTTATAAAATAATTAAAGATAATGATATGAAAAATAATAAACGGTTGGCGGTTAATAAACCGTAATGTAACCGCCATTGTGAAAAAAAAATTTAAAATTTAAAATTAAAATTTAAAATAAAAATTAAAAAGGGTAAATTTGAAAGAAAAAAAAGCTACACCAAAACAATGTATTGCTTTTATATATTGTTATAGATATATAAACTAACAAAATATAGATTGCTCTAAAAGATTTGAGTTTGAAATGATGAGGAAATGAAACAGAACAAATTTCACAAACAAATGGTAGCTTTACAAATGAAGGTATTTCACAAACCGATGGTTGCTTCACAAATGAAGGTGGTGATGGACCAGGGTTCAGACCATTCTTGATTGGATAAGATAGTCTGGTTGCAATTTTGATAGTGAGATCTAGAGTAATTTCCATTACCTCTAACTAAGTCTCCAAATCTGTAAAAATCAACAAAATAATAACTCATAAAAAATATTCAAAAACAAAGAATCAGACATAAGAGAACAGAAAGATTAAAAACAAAAAATAAAGGATATAAATGAGTGATTTAGAAAAAAAAAACAGTGGAAACATTAATCACAGGAAAAATTGAAACATTCTTAAAAGACATTTTTAGCTAAAAGGAAGAAACTTTTATACATGTTCTGAACACGGATGAAATCAGAAATTGCTTTCAACTAGAGAAGACAAGATTGAATCAAAGAGTAAAGGCAAGAAATGCCAAGAAAGATTGAATCAACATTTCCTCAACTAAACTATGACCTCAAGATCAACATCTATGCAGTTTACAGGTTGTGTGAATTTGAATGTGCATAAAAAACACTTTCTCTTCAAATCATTAGAGTTGAACAAACCCAATATTTCAAACAAAATTAAACTAACATGTATATATCATTTTCTCTCACTAAAAACAATTAATTTATCATTTGTTTATACATACATGGCATTGTAAATGTATCAAAGTAATGATCTATTTTAATTTTACTTTTTAATTAATATTATCTTAATTTTTTTAATAGGTGTGAAAAGTTGTGAAAAGTCAACTGAATTATTGTGGAATGAAGGGAGTGTTCAAAGTTACTAAAGATAAGTACTCTCTGTTCTGCATCTACGGTCTTTGTGTAGTAGTTGACTTGAGCGAAACCCTTTCAAAACAATGTCTTCCTCCAGCGGTCATCCACGGATCTACGACGTGTTCATAAATTTCAGAGGAGAGGATACTCGCAAAAGTTTTGTTTCTTATCTCCATGCTGCACTCTCAAACGCCGGAATCAACACTTTTCTTGACGATAAGAATCTTCAAAAGGGAAAGAAACTTGGACCAGAACTAAAGAGGGCAATAGAGGGCTCTCAGATTTCTATTGTTGTTTTATCAGTGAAATATGCAAATTCTAGCTGGTGTCTTAACGAGCTGCTACATATCATGAAATGCCACAAAATTAATGGCCAGTTAGTTTTACCCGTATTTTACGAGATTGACCCATCGGTTGTCCGTTGGCAGACTGGTGATTTTGGAGACGCCTTGAAATTTAGTGCAAAACGCGTCGAATCTTTTAGTCTAACAAAAAAGAAAGGAGATCTCCTGGAAAAGTGGAGGACCGCACTCACCGAAGTTGCTAATCTATCTGGCTGGAATTCCACTAGTTTCAGGTAATAATAAACTAACACTTTTTTAAATTTATAATCACACCCTCATTCTTTTATTATTATTGTTGTTGTTGCTATTGCAGAAGTGGAGATAATCTAGTGACGAACATTGTTGACGACATTTTGAGAAAAATAGATGTCTCATTGTTGTCTATTACTGAATTTCCTATTGGATTGGATTCCCGTCTGCAAAACATGACCTACTTTATTGATGATCAATCAAGCAAAGCCTGTATGATAGGGATTTGGGGAATGGGTGGTTCGGGCAAAACAACCACCGCCAAAGCTCTCTACAACCAAATCCATCGTAAATTTATGGGTAGAACAAGTTTCATTGAAAATATACGAGAGACTTGTGAAAATGATACTAGAGGAGTTATTCATTTACAACAACAACTTCTTTCGGATATCTTCAAAATAAAGCAAGAGATTCATAGCATTGCATTAGGGATAACTAAGATCAAGACAAGACTTCGAGGGCTAAAGTCTTTGGTCGTACTCGATGATGTGACCAAGTTGGAGCAATTAAATGCCCTCTGTGGAAATCCCAAGTTGTTTGGTTCAGGAAGTGTATTGATTGTTACAACTAGAGATGTACGCCTTCTCAATTCACTCAATACCGGCCATGTCTTCCCAATGACGGAAATGGATGACAATCAGTCACTTGAACTTTTCAGTTGGCATGCTTTTCGGCAACCAAGTCCTAGAAAAGATTTTAGTGAACTCTCTAAAAATGTAGTTGCTTATTGTGGAGGATTGCCGCTGGCTCTTGAAGTCCTTGGATCTTACTTATCGAGGAGGACGAAACAGGAATGGAGAAGTGCACTATCAAAATTAGAGAAAATTCCTAACAATCAAGTGCTAAAGAAATTGAGAATCAGCTACGATGGTTTAGAAGATTATAAGGAAAAGGATATATTTCTTGACATATGTTGTTTCTTCATTGGAAAGAACAGAGCTGATGTTACAGAGATACTCAACGGCTGTGGACTTCATGCTGATATTGGAATAGCTGTCCTCATAGAGTGCAGCCTCGTAAAAGTTGGAAAGAATAACAAGCTTCAAATGCATGATTTGCTACGAGACATGGGAAGAGCAATTGTTGGCGAAAGTTCAGAAAAAGAGCCTGCAAAGCATAGTCGACTGTGGTTTCGAGAGGATGTGCTTGATGTTTTGTCAAATAATACTGTAAGAACTTTTGAGCATCCTCTATAATCTTTAGGATGTGCAACTGTTTGTTTCTGGACTAGTTTGGATGCATGATTTACATTCTCAATGTTCATTGCAAATATGTTTATGCCGCTGCACCTCTGCAAGTATATATTTATATGTATTACTTTCTAGTTATGAAGCACTAACACTAACACGACATTTTACACTAACACGTTGACAATGGTAAAGAATTGCATGTGTCAATATTATTTGACACTGACATGGGTCCGATGCAAAGCACAACCTCAATGCGAAGTGTTAGTGACACTTAAATTTTTAGCAAGCAATACCAAGGATAAACATTTTCCCTTATTTTTATCTTGTTTTTTACTTCACATTGTAGGGAACAGAAGCTGTCGAAGGATTGATTTTGAGGTTGCAACAAACAGGAAGAATTCACTTCAGCACTAATGCTTTTCAAGAAATGAAAAAGCTGAGGCTTTTAAAACTTGACGGTGTTGACCTCAAAGGAGATTATGGGTTAATTTCCAAACAACTGAGATGGGTTGATTGGCAACGATCTTCCTTCAAATTTATAGCCAATGACTTCGATCAGGAAAATCTAGTTATTTTTGAATTAAAATATAGCAATGTCAAACAAGTTTGGCAGGAGACCAAGGTATAATACTACTTTCTTTTAAAGCTGAAGTGTTGATGACAATAAAATTTCTTGCCATCTTTTCATTTCTCATTTTCTTCTCTTCTTTTTATTCTAAACAATAATTTTCTTGTAGTTATTGGAGAAGCTAAAAGTTCTCAATCTTAGTCATTCCAAGTACTTGAAAAGCACCCCTGACTTTTCAAAATTACCAAATCTAGAAAAGCTCATTATGAAGAACTGTCAAAGTTTATCTGAGGTACACCATTCCATTGGGGATCTCAAGAAGATTCATCTCATAAATTTGAAGAATTGTACTAGTCTTGCCAATCTCCCTAGAGAAATCTATCAATTGATATCGGTAAAAACTCTCATTATTTCTGGTTGTTCAAAGATTGAAAAATTGGAAGAAGATATATTGCAAATGGAATCCTTGACAACTTTAATTGCAGCAAATACTGGTATCAAACAAGTCCCTTTTTCAATTGTAAGATCAAAAAGTATCGGATATATATCCCTATGTGGATATGAAGGATTATCACGTGATGTTTTTCCGTGCCTCATTCAGTCTTGGATTTCACCAACCAGAAATTCCCTACCCCGTGTTTCTCCATTTGGAAGCAGTTCATTGTCTCTTGTTTCCTTGGATGTGGAGAGTAATAATATGGCGTATCACTCACCAATGCTTACCATCCTTTCAAAACTTAGATGTGTTTGGGTTCAATGTCATTCAAAGAATCAACTAACTCAAGAATTACAAATATTTATTGATGATCTTTATGATGTGAATTTGTCTGAGTTGGAAATCTCAAATCATTCATTGAGATCACTTGTGATTGGAATGGGAAGTTCCCAAATAGTCATGGATACTCTTGAGAAGAGCTTATCACAGGTTTGTTCTCTGTCATTCACCTTTACTAATAATTATTATTAATTAAAAGAACATGATATGGTTTTCTTTAAATGGTAGTATAAAAGTTTCCATCTACAGTGTACAAAGAAAAGAAGCTGCAATATATCAAGAACTAGGTATCTAGATAATTGTTTTTACAAATACTGAGTTTTAAAAGCTTTTAGTATATGTTGTTTCTTTTCCCTCTACGTTAGTAGGAAGCCATAACGGTAGGCTAAATGTTACTATATCATAACCCTTCATTTTTATTAACTGTGTGTGAAATGGAAACAAATTATTTTGCATAATTGACAACAGTACCATTGCTAATACTCTAAAGAGAGAGTAATTTATTGGAGTTAAATAAAGGTATTTTCTAAAAATATTGATAAGGTCATTAAATCGAGAGAGAAATTGTAGACAAACATATATCTGTTACTGTTGTGCGGTAACTTTGAAAGCTAACTTGTTGAAAGAGAAAATATATCTCCTGGTTTCTTTAAATCAGTTTCCTAGTATCCATTTTTCTGTGTATTACACTATTTTGATCCTATAAATGGGGCATAATTTTCATTTGCTTAGCATAACTATACATATGTTCATGATGCAGGGATTGACAGCCAGTTCTAGTGATTCTTTTCTTCCGGGCGACAATTATCCTTTTTGGTTAGCCTATACATGTGAAGGACCTTCGGTACTTTTCCAAGTGCCTGAAGATAATGACTGTGGAATGAAGGGAATAGCTTTATGTGTTCTTTATTCATCAACACACGAAAACCGGACAACTGAATGTCTCACTAGTATCCTGATCATTAATTACACAAAATTCACTATCCAAATATACAAGCGAGACACAGTAATATCGTTTAATGACGAAGATTGGCAAGGTGTCATATCAAATTTAGAAGTTGGTGACAATGTGAAGATTTTTGTAGCTATTGAGCATGGATTGATTGTTAAGGAGACGTCTGTCTATCTAATATATGGTCAGTCAACTGATATGAAAGTTGAACCAACAATTGAAGTGGAAGTGCAACCATCGCCTGATGTGAAAACGGAGCCATCATCCAGAGTGGAATTGCAACCATCGCCTGATGTGAAAACGGAGCCATCATCCAGAATGGAAGTGCAACCATCGCCTGATGTGAAAACGGAGCCATCATCCAGAGTGGAAGTGCAACCATCACCTAATGTGATAGCAGAGCCATCGCCAAGAGTGGAAGTGCAACCATCACCTGATGTGAAAACGGAGACATTACCTAATATGATAGCGGAGCCATCACCAAGAGTGGAAGTGCAACCATCACTTGATGTGAAAATGGAGCCATCACCAAGATTGGAAGTGCAACCATCACTTGATATGATAGCGGAGCCATCACCAAGAGTGGAAGTGCAACCATCACTTGATGTGAAAATGGAGCCATCACCCAGAGTGCAGCCATCACCTAATATGATAGCGGAGCCATCACCAAGATTGGAATTGCAACCATCACTTGACGTAAAAATGGAGACATTACCTAAGCCAAATGAAAATATCTTTACAAGACTCCTAAAGAGAATAGGGAGATGTTTATTCTCGAACCAAACTTGAAATCTCAATTTTTTTATTGGCACGCCTTTATCCTAACATTAGATTCCCTTGTATATTTTTTTTTAATATTAATTTGGGTTAAATATATTTTTACTCCTTATAAATATTTCAAAATTTAGTTTAAATCTCTAGAATATTTTCGAATCATCTTCATAAAGTTTTCTATTTTTAACTTTTGTCAATGTTGTCTATTCTACTTAACCGATGCTGACGTGGCACGACACATGACAGTGACACCGGTTAAAGATGTTGACGTGGCATGCCACGTGACTAAGGTCAAGAACATACTTGAACCTATAAAAAATCGTAGTTAATACGTAGCTAAAATCGTAGCTAATCTCTAACAAATTTACTGCAGAAATTTTGGTTATATTTTCTAACCTCAATTATATTTTAAAGAAAGAGACATCTATCATATAAGAATATATTATGTTTTAGAAAAGACTAAAAATCCCTTTCTCTTCCTACAACCTTCCATGTGGCTGATTCTATAAACAATTTTGTTTCTTGTTGGCCACGTAAACAAACTCTTCTTCTACAAACAAGTTTTCAATTTCATCTCTCTCTCTGATTCTCTCGCTTTCATTTTTCTTCATATTCTTCATCTCCATCTTGCGATTCTTTGCTTCAATGACAAACCACTATGATCACTATTATCTTCATTCATCAATAGGCTTGCCTTTATAGACCTGAGCAAAACTTAGTTGTGCAGAGGTAACATCAATATTTATTGAATGTAGCAAGATCCTGCATAACCACAATCACATCTATCATAAATATAACTCCATCTATACACTTAAAGAGTAAGTCACCTTTTGAACTTCTTTATGACAAATTGCCTATCTATTGTGACTTTAGAATTTTTGGATGTCTTTGTTATATTTCCATTATACCACAACATAGGAATAAGTTTACACCTAAAGTGATTCCATGTGTTTTTTTGGGGTTATCCTACTGGCTATAAGGGTTTCAAAGTGTATGATCCCTTTCATCAGTTAGTCTAGCCAAATCCAATTTGTGATCATTCTCCTCATGACTATGTCCCTAGCACTAATACTATACAACATGACAATTCAATTCCTATATTTCCCGTGTCTAACTTAACTCAGGATGTGCATATTTATCCAATTATTTAAGTTCTTATAAGGCCTAATAGGACTCCTAGAGCCCCAACCTGCAGCTTAAAAGATTTTTGTCTGTCACACTCATTATCGACTTACTGGTTCATTTTCATATGATAAATTGTCTAGTCCATACAAAGTTATTGTCATGCATGTTTCCTCAGTTTATGAGGCCCAGTTTTACCATCAGGCTGTCAAATGTTTTGAGTGGAGCAGTGCCATGAGTGAAGAAATAACAACTTTTGTGAAAAAAACACTTGGACAGTCTAACCTATACCTCATGGCAAGAAATTCCATTGGATGTAGGTGGAACAATAAAACAAAGTTTAATATTGATGGTTCTTTGGATAAGTATAAGGCAATTGATTGTTAAGGGGTGCACTCAATAACCTGGCCTTGATTTCATATGAATTTTTTCACCAGTGGCAAAACTCACCTGTGTCAGAGTCATACTCACCCTAACAACATCATACAAGTGGAAGTTAGCTCAATTAGACATCAATAATGCATTTTTAAATGGGGAGTTTATAAAGCTTTTGACATTGAATATATATAGCATATCTAATGAGAATGATATATAAATCAATTAATGAAATTAACAAAAACACACATAGATACAGACACTCACACACGCACGTGCGCGCACACACACATAAGGTAGCCGCAATAGTGTCGTTCCCGATACTCATGTGAGAGCATCTTTAATGGGAGCAACTAAATTGGATGAACTAAGTTATTTTACGTGGGTCCAAATTGACACGAAGGATTTAAGCAATCCAAAATTGAATTAAGAAGTTTTTACTAAATGGTGATTGTTTATAAGGAATTCAAACTTGATATTAAATGGTTAATAAAAATCTATTATTTATGTTAAATAATTAATAAAAATCTATTATTTATGTTAAATAATGAGTTAGAGTACGTTGCTTGTGTAGAGCACGTAAACTAGTTTTAGAGCATCCTATATGTCATGTCAGCTCTACTATAATGCAAATTCCTTATTACTAACGTAAGCTCTACAAAATTTTGGTTTAACAACTATGCGTTAAAGTTGTTCTGAATGATAACACAAATGCAGGAGAGGACTAACTTTGATCGACATAGTATTAGGTATGCGGTTGCAGACACGTGTGTTGCTCAGCGAGACAAACCCAAAAAGGTGGAGTTTTGAAGGTGTGAAAAGGACAACAAAAATGATAGCATTAACAGATGTGTGTCTAATCATACTAATGAGGATATGTCAAATCTTGATATGGTGGGGCCATGCCTTTTGTTAGGTCAGACAATTAATTGTGACAACTTTGTCAATATGGAAGTTCAATTATTTATTCTTGTGCATTAGAAAAATAAAAAAATGATTTAGATATAATTTTTGTCATTTGAAACAAATAATTTTTGTGTGTATTTTATGCCTAACAAATATCTTTATTTATAGAAAAACTTGTACCAATTTAGGAGAAGAAACAATGTATCATTTGATTTCAACATGATCCTTACCGAACTATTGTATATCAATAACAATAAACCTTTTTATAAAAAACTGTGTTAATCTGATGATTGCACCTTTCGACCACACATCCAATTATTATAAGGTCTTTAGTTCTATTTTAAATTAGGTTAAAAATCTTTTGTATTTTTTATAAAAGTTGTTATGTCCTAGTTGTAATTTAACTCGACACTTGATTGTAGTTGGGTTGAGGTACCCTTAATACTCCAATTGATATAAATATTTTTTGCTTATAAAAAAAACTAAGCATATATGTTCACGGTATAGGGATCGGCCTCCAATTCTAGCTATTCTTTTCTTCTGGGTGACAATTATCCTTCTTGATAAGTTAGGACCTTCCGTACTTTTTCAGGTGTCCGAGTATAATGATTGATGTGTGAAGGGAATAATTTTATGTATTCTTTACAACACATAAAAACCTGGCATCACTTATCCTAAAGAATAAGCCATTACCGAAGACAAATAGAAAACTCTTTTCAAGACTTGCAAAGAGAGTGAAAGAATGTTCATGCTTGATCCAAAATAGATAACTCAACTAATGAAGTTCAGAACATTTTGTTAAAAGTATTGTTGAAAATATATAAGGATCTTTATATTTATTCTATATGATTGTTACATAGATTTACCGTATCATGTCATATAAATTGAGAAAGTGGATAAGTAGAGTATGCTAAATCCTATATCTAATTGAATGTACTAAGTTAACAAACACTCCTTACTTTTATTTATAAAGATAATAACATGACACCATAATACAAAACTCACAACAGAAATAAAATATATATCTATCACCAACACAACACTCACACAACAAACATCATTATTTTAGATGTATCAAATAACACACAAGAGAGTCATGATTACAATATCTTTAATCAAGGAAGAGGACCACTTTCAGGTGTAAGAGCATTGCTGCTATAAGGTGCAATATTTGTGCGATCGGTAAATGGACAAAACTTATGATACACAGTCCAAAGATAAGGAGCAGTCAAGCACATGTTATACAAAGTCAAGCAATCTATACACTTCCATAACTTTTCAGATTTGTAAATACCATCATCTTTATTCGGCTGATTATATCTTTCTTGCGCCTCAGCATTGTAACCATCTAGAAATATTGGCACAACAAGGAGAACTAGAACAAGAACAAGTGAAACAGTTTTTCCCATGGTGTGTATATGAATGAGTATTTTTATTTTCTTCTTATTGATTTTGTTTTGCATGAAATGAAAGTGGTCTCAAACCATTTCAATTTATACTGCGAGCTAATAAATTAAAGAAAATTGAAGAAATAAAGAGTATCAATTATATTAAATGATATAGTACAAGTGTTTTAGAAATAAAAATTTAAGATGGTGACTTGAGCCATTAATTATTCACTTGTCATGACTTGTAATATGGACAAAGTTCTGCATATTTTTTTTTTTCATGTATGATAGTGATTGATCTGAAACTAGTATCGAGAATTTAACATGCAAATAGAAATTTGTCGAAAAAATTAATGTTCAGTATGGCCAACAACGGTGTAAATTATAGTTTCATATTAAACATATATCAATATCATACGTCAAGAGGCTAATAACATAACCTAGTAATTTATTTTAAATGTAACTATTTGAGTGTACATTTTAAGAGGAGTGAATTAGATATAATGATATTTTTTAGCCTTTTAAATTTTTTTAGAATTATAAACGATGAACAAATGATAAAATAAATAAATAAAATGAATAAAATAAATGAACACAATAATGTACTCCCCCGTTTTATATTATAAGCAAATTTCACATTTTTATATTTATTAAATAATTGATTTATCATGTATATATTTAGACCAAATACATCAATTATTTAATGAATCTAAAAATGTGAAATTTGCTTATAATATAAGACGGAAGGAGTATACTAGTTCCCATTTACAATTAAGGGTACGCCTAGTCCCCTTACATATGGGAGAAATTTATACTATTGTTAAATCTTTATACAAGTTTCACAACAAAACTTCTTCTAAAATCTTCTAAAAACAACAAAGAAGTACACTACTTCTTTGACTTCACAAATACACCAACAACTATGATGGAATTTGAATCAAACTAATTTAAAAGACCTTTCTCCAACAAATAGAAAATATACCACTTTCTATTTGTAAAATACTTTTAGAAAGTACACACACTTTCTTTACAAATTAAGTCACAACACACTCGGTGATCAATTACAATACTTGAACAAATTTGAATATACAAAGTCGATATTCTCTTTCAATGTACAATTCAATAATATATGAATTTTAAGTGTTCAAAAAATATTATGAAATTTGTATGAATGATTTCAAAATTATGCACAAAGTTTCAACATTTTTAAAAAATAATGAACAT